CTCCCTCCATCTTTAGATCACCTTCCTATTTGCAAAGTGTTTCCTGTTGTCTTTTATTTTGTTTTTAAAATTATTTATACCTTGAGTTTCTCATGTAAATTATGTGCTATTTAAACTCACGTTTCTGAGTTGATTCACTTAACACTGTGTTCTCAAGGTGCTTCCACCTTCCTCAAATGACTCAAATTTATCTTTCCTTGGGGCACAGTCATATTCCATTGAGTATAAGTACCCCATTTCCTTTATCCATTCGTTTACTAATGGACATATAGGCTGCTTTGAAGATTTAGCTGCCTTGAGTTGTGCTGCTATGAACAACGGGTATGCATGGATCATGTGAAACTGGGATAAGAGGTGGGTCTTGATGCCCCCAGCCTGGCTTACAGCTCCTTGTAAGTCAGTGGCAGCCTCCTGTCTCCTCTAAGCCATCCAAAATCTTTTCAGGAGTTTGTGTCATTGATATTACTATTACTACCGCCACTGTTACTTACAGTGCCAGGGATTGAACCCAGGCATTTGCATTGAGCTACCTCCCCAGCCCTTTTTAAATTTTGAAACAGGGACTTAGTAAGCCTCTAATTTACCTAAGCTGGGACAAACTCACAGTTCTATCCGAGCCTCTCAGAGAACTGGAATTACAGACATGCCTCCCAGGTTAGGTGCGTGCTTTTAAAAGCAGCATGTTGTTAGTGTGGTTTTAGTGTGTCTGTAGGAAACATTGAAAATCGTGAGTGCTTGAAGTTCTGTGTCTTTTTGAGAAAGATTTAAACATTTTAACACAGAAGAAATCAGTTAACTGGTTTTGAGTGGGTGATTTTTATGTGTGGCATAACATTAAAATATATATTCAGTCACCCAGGAACTAGTGAGTCCGTCTTTTCTTCTTGCTCAAATATATAGCTCCCCTCTCAGAGGCTACCTCTGTTATTGATCTCTACAGGGCCCTCCAGAGGTAGTCTGTACCTGAGTAAATGATTTCTCCAGTGCCCTTGTCAAGGCAACATTGTCTGATATTTGAATTTTTTGTCTGCTGATAGGTAAACAGTGGTATCTCTGAGGAGGTATAATTTGCACTCCCATTTTGAGCAAAGTTGGGTATCTTCACACTAAGTTCACTTTCTTGTGAATCTCTATCTATATCTATATCTATATCTATATCTATATCTATATATCTTATTCTGTCTTCCAGGTTATGTTTATGGCTACTTTTTTTCTGTAGTAAAATATACCAAGTTTTACATTTATGGCTTCTGGATTTTGTATTATGTTTCAAAAGTTTCCTCTACTCCAACATTATATGCTTTTCAGCTTTTTGTCTATGACTTTCACAGTTTCCAAGTTTACCATTAATTCTTTTTTTTTTTTTTTTTTTTTTTTTTCGAACCAGGGATTGAACTCAAGCCCTTGCGCTTGCAAGGCAAGTGTCTATTCTACTGAGCCATCTCCCCAGCCCCTATAATTAATTCTATGATCCATCCGAGTTATACCTGTAAGGAAGAATATAGAGATCCTACTTACATTTCCTGGTTGGCTTCCTACTTCCCTCCTAACTGCTGAGTTCTTTCTTCCCACTCAGACAATACCACATTTATCAGATACTGGATTTGGGTTTATTTCTGAACTTTGGTTCCCTGTTTGTTCTCTCACGTGGCAGACTTGTGCTATTGAATTTTTTTCTTACAGTCTGACAGGTAGACTCACTACTCACACACTTCTGCAGCCACCTTCTTTTCTCTCTCCAGCCTAGACCTATTACTGGACTCTTTCACAGTTCTCTCTTGAATCCCTTCTCTGTGGCTGTGCATCAATGACCATAGATGACCATCAGTGACCACAGACTCAGTGACCCAAAGAGGCACACTCATTGTCTCCTGGTTTTTGGAGTCTCCAGGCCATTGGTTGTGTCTTCCCATGGTGGGGATCAGTGTCAGGGCTAGGGTCCCAGAGGCTCCCCCAGGGCGTCCCAGGCTCAGGGCTTTGTTTACAGTATCACTGCCTGCAGGCTATCAGATGTGGCCACACTCAGTCTCTTGCTACTTGCCCTGCAGGCACCAGCTCACCAGCTCACGTGTCAGTAGGTTTAAAACCAGCCAGAGCTCTGCGTGGTGACACTCAGCTGTAACCTCAGTACTTTAGGAGGCTGGAGCAGAGGGAGTGCAAGTTTGAATCCAGCCTAGACAATTTAGTGAGACCTTGTCTCAAAAAAGGGCTGGAGATGTACCTCAGTGCAAAGGTCTTATTAATCCCTAGTACCAGAGTAACACACACACACACACACACACACACACACACACACACACACACACACACGGCCAGGGAGAAACTCCAGCAAGGTGGACAGTATAATCCTATGTAACCTAATCACAGAACACATGTGCATTGTGCCTCCATCACCCGTGTGGCTCATTGGTTAGATACAAGTCATGAGCCCTGCTGTGCTCAGGAAGGGGCCACTGGGGTGGGAATCCTTAGAGGCTGGGGTAACATGGGGAGCAAGACCTGGATCCCACAACTGTCCTGGAGTCTGCCTACCATACCAGGCACTGTTATCTAGGAAGACTTCACTGAACTGTGCATCCCAAACCTACAGAAGGGGGAAGTCCCTCACTGATGCTTCTGTAACCACTTAACAAAAATAAGTAAGAAGCCAGGAATGGTGGTGCATGCCTGTAATCCCAGCCCTTGGGAGGCTGAGGCAGGAGGATCCTTGTGAGTTCGAGACCAGCTTGTGCTACAAAGTGAGCTCAAGGCCAGCCTGAACTGCATAGCAAGACTCTGTCTCAAAAGGTTGAAAATAAATAGGTAAAAAAAATAAGGCATGACAGTCCATGCTTAGTTGGTGTTTTCAACATAATAAATAAGACAGAAATTAAGCCAAAAGGAATTATTTATTTGGAGACAAGGTTTTGCTAAATTGTCCAGGCTGGGCTTAAACTTGCAAATCCTCCTGCCTCAGTCCTAAATCCCAGAGTTCTGAGATTATATGTGTGTGCCACCATGCCTAGATTTTGTGATGAGAATAAATCTGTTCACTTAATGGTCCTTGAGTCAGGACTTGGAGAAAGTGAAAGCCCTGGGAGCTGGAAAATGCAATATCTCTTGAAATGTTTAAAGAATCTGTGTCAGCACATAGGATAGATGCTGCCTGTGGTGGGCTGGACATTCCCAGAGGAGGTGTCTGGGACTTTTACTGGAACTTTTCAATAAATGATTGGGACTTCAATTAATAATTAATTACTGGCACTTTTGAATGGATAACCAGATCACCTGCTGCTTTTTTTCTAAAAGGATGCAGCTGCCTGGACAACCTGCAAGAGCCAGAACTTGTCCCTATCCAGGAGGGTGGTAGCCTGCTGCAGATGGTTACATAGTATGTGACCCAGCCCAGGGAGGGACATTCTTGATGTCCTCAGTTAAGGGCAGTGGCTGCTGATCATACCCTTAGCTTCCTTGCTTGACTGTCCTCACCAGGCATTTATTTTTAAATTTATTTATTTAATTAATTTTTTTTCTTTGTGGTACCAGGGATCCAACGTGGGATCTTGTGCTTGCTAGACAGGCAGTTATGCCACTGAGCTGTATCATCCGCCCTTCACTAGATATTTAATATATGGAGATCTTGTACATCTATCTGTTCATGGGCTAGATCCATTTTCATGTTTCAGCTGCAACCAGCAAAAAGCAAAAAATCATTGGCTTAGCAATAAAGTATTATTAGGCTGAGTGGGGAGAATATCTGAAGACAGAAGTGGGTATTTGGGCATGGTCCTGGCCCCACGTCTTGTTACGTCTGTCTCTGTCACTGAAGATCAGACGGTGAATGGGACATTTGAAACTATTTTCCCATGGTGAGGCCACAGCAGAGGCCAAGGAGCCTCTTGGAGGTAAACAGAGGTCTGAAGGTGAGGGGTCTGCTCTGGGGAACTGAGTAGTCTGGTCTCAAGTGAAAGGCTAGTGGGAGCTGCCATCACCATGGGGTGAAGAGAGGGGCTTGGTAGAAGCCACCTCTGAGTAAGGCCTGGTCAGGAGCTCTGTGTCAGGAGAGATGATCTCTGTGCTCATAGGGGGTGCATCAGATAGGAGAGCTTGTCCTTTGAGGTCAGCCAAAGGGGGACCCCCACATTCCTCCCAGGAGAGAACCTCTGGGGATCCCACAGGAAGAACGCTGATTCTGGAACACTCTATTCCCAAAGCCTGAACACCCTCAATGCCAGGCAGGTGTCACTCTTCTCACCAGGCCACCTAGAGGAGGCAGCAGGAAGTGAGCAAGCGGGTGGGGGAGGCAGGTAGCCCCTGCAGTAGCTGTGGGTTGGAGCTGCAGTGTGATGTGATTTGATTCAGGAGAGGTGGAGAATTTCTGAAAAGGACCCTCTTCTGAAGGTATGTCCCTGGACAGGGCAAGGGTGGGGCACCAGAAGCTTCTTCTTTGACCCTGAGCCAGGTCCGTTTGTCCTTCTACTGGTAGGGAGAGGTTGGCCAAGGACCCTGGGCATGTGTACCCAGGCGAATGAGGATACATGAGGGGCAGGGGAGACAGGTACCTTTGGACGGGTATGCACAGCTGAGTGGGGAGAACAGGTGTGAGACACTGAATGCTGTTAGGTAAGTAAAGATTGTGGAGTGTCCTGCCCACCTGTTCTCTTTGGGTTTGGATTCTCATTCTGTCTGTCTGTCTGTCTGTCTGTCTGTCTGTCTCTCTCTCTCTCTCTCTCTCTCTCTCTCTCTCTCTCTCTCTCTGTCTGTCTCTGTGTGTAACCCAATCTCTTCCTGGCAGGTCTGGGCCTGTGGGTTAGGAAGCTATTAAGCCCGGGTATGGGGGTGCCCAAAGAGCAAGGTGGGGGTCCCCTGGTCATGCTGGGCTCTTGTGAGCTAAACACACAACGTGGGTAACTCTAGGCTTCCACTGAAGGAGAGTGGGTGGTGAGAGTTACAGAGGGGCTGCGGGGGGGTGGGGTAATAGGTTGGTTGCGTGCAGGCCGGGTGCGCAAAGAGCCGGTGGCGCGCTGTGGGGGCGGTCACAGGGCGGCACCGCTGCAGTGCGGGGACCCGCTCGCCGCGTCCTCGCGTCCCGCGTCCCCGCGTCCCCACGTCCCCGCGACCCGCGTCCCCGCGCAGTCGCTTTCGGCCTCCGGCGCTGAGCATCCAGGTACGCGGGCTGGATTGGGGTCTGCGCGGGTTCTGGGGTCACATGGAGGCTCGGGCAATGGGGATCCCTGGCTGCAGTGTCCCCCCACCCCCGTCTCCACCCCCCCCCCTTCCTTCTTCATCCCTGCCTCGGGCGGAGAGCGAAGCGGCCGCAGAGGAGCCAGGCCCTGGTCTGGGTCTGGAAGGGGGGTGGGCCCGTCGGCGGAGTGGCCAGGCTGAGGTCCGAGTGGGGAGCACAGGGTCTGGGGGCGCCTTCCGAGCGGTCTGGAGACCCGGGCGCGTCTGAGCGGGTGTGGACCTGGCCAGTGTGACTCACCCGGGCGCGGGGCGCGCACGGCTATTGTTCTTCACCGCCCCCCAAGCTGAATTTCCTGTTTTCCTCCTTGTGTTTCTTTTCCTGTGAAGCAGGCCACCTCAACCTTGGCCATCATCCCATCCCCGTCGCCCCGGGATCCCTCCCCGGTCCCCCTGTGGTGGTAATTACATTTCACACAGGTGTTCCTAAGGGGGGAGGGGAGGCCATGTATCACTGGGACCAGGCCCTCTGCCTCTTTTTCCCCACAGATTTCTTAGAGATGCTTTAGAAGGGGCTTCTAATTGCCCACCAATTTTGTTTGCATCTTTTCCTCCTCTAAAGAATCTGCTCTGTGGTGAGGCTTTGGCGGCTGGCACCATATAGCAAACAAATCATTCAGCCTGCAAGTGGAAAGATCTGTGATGAACGCAGAAGAAATGACTAAAATATGGACCCGACCGCCAGTCATGCCTCCTTGTTCTCTGCCCTCTGCATTTGGTGCAGCCCAGAGGGCAGTTGGGGACTTCCTCAGGCCCTCTTAAAGCCTTGTTGTTTTCAGTTTCTTAGCAGGAAGGAAGAAAACGCCTGGCCATGGCCTCCCCGTCATCCTTCCCCTCAGAAGAGGAGGACAGTCTGAAGGGGTGTGAGCTGTATGTCCAGAAGCACAGCATCCAACAGGTGCTCAAAGACTGCATCGTGCACCTCTGTGTCTCCAAGCCTGACCGTCCCATGAAGTTCCTCCGGGAGCACTTTGAGAAGCTGGAGAAGGTCAGTGCCTCCCCTGCCCCCACCCTGTGCCCCTCTGCAGGTGATCTGGGGCCTGGGCAGCAAGCCCTTCCTTTCTCCTGTCCTCCTGGAGAGAGGGATGGATGCCAGGGGAATGGTGTGTGGGGTCCTCCCAGAAGAAAGGGAGCCAGGAAGATTTGGGTGTGACTCATCCCGTTTGTAGTTAGGTTCATTTTGACCACAGATCTTACTTCGGTGTCCAGGGGGCTCAGGGAGTCCAGAGCCATTATGGAAAGTGACAGGTTTTAGGTAATACATGGGGTGCACTGGTTTTTTCAGCTTGGGGGATAGAAGTAAGGACCAGGTCTTATTATAGATGCCACCAGTAGTTGGGATAAGAGAAAGCAGCTGCCAGCCTCCCAGGTGACCTGGGGCCATGGGCCAGGCTCCAGATGTGTCTGGTGGGGAACACACTTCTCAGCTCTTGTCTGTGAGCAGAGACCCTGTGATTCATTCTTCCTTCTCCTTATCCAAGTCTCTGCTTCCTGAGGCAGGGACAGGAACAGGGGCAGGAGGTTGGATAGGAACACCCTGGCTCCATCACCCCTCCTGGTTGGTGGCCACTTAGTTCTTCTCCCAGCTCCCTCTCCGACTCTCCCTGGGTGTCACCTGGGGCTCCAACACTTGATGTTTTTTTCCCTTCAGTACTGGGGATTAAACAGAAGGTCTCAATAAATGGCTAAATTGCTCCGGCGGGGATTAAACAGAAGGTCTCAATAAATGGCTAAATTGCTCCGACTAGGCTTAAACTTGCAAGCTCTGCCTTAGCTTCCCAGAGTGCTGGGATTATAGGTGTGCACTGTCCCATGTTCCAGTCTCTCATGGGGACCACATGGGATCACATGGACTATGTGGAAACATGTTCAAGGTAAGGTCTGCTATTAAGCTTTGGTGAATGTATGGGGGTGGCCCACACATTGGGGTTTAGACAGAGCCCTGTGATCACATGACCCTCAAGCAAAAGGGTAAATTTATTTCTTTGTGTTAAGACAGTCCATCAAGAACCAGCCAAGGCTGGAGAGATAGCTCACTTGAATAAGTGCTTGCCTGGCAAGCACAAGGGCCTGAGTTCAATCCCCAGCTATGCAAAAAAAAAAAAAAAAAAAAAAAAGAACCAGCCAAATAACTCAGTGGATTAAAGAGCCTGCAAGCAGGTGCAGAGGCTGGGCGTTGTGCCTGTAATCCCAGCTCTTGGGAGGCTGTAAACAGGCGGATCACTACGAGTCTGATCTAATAGTGAGACCCTGAACAGCCTGTAGACCCTTCCGTAAAATAAAAAAAAAAAGACAATCCATCAAATATGTACATATGTATGTATGTATGTGTTTATACAGTGTCTCACTATGTAGTGCAGGCTAGCCTTGAACTCACTTTTGTAGCCCAGGCTGGCTTCAAACTCACTGCCGTCCTTCTGCTTCAGCCTCCCGAGTGCTGAGATTATAAGCGTGTGTCACCACGCCTGACAAAAACAAACATTTTAAACATTTTAATCTACTTATTGAAAAAATTTTGGGAACTTCAAAAGTAAAAAGACAAAATAAAAAATCTGCATCCCTCCTACCTCTTTCCCCCTCAAGTGCTGTGCTTTTTAAAAAGCAGTGTTTTTAGTCATGCATAGTCATGTTGCAGATACCTTTTTTTTTTTTTTTTTTTTCTGAGACAAGGTCTTATTCTGCAGTACAGGCTGGCCTTGGACTCACTGTGTAGCCTGGGCTGGCCTTAAACTCCCAGTGATCCTCTTGCTTTAGCCTCCCGAGTGTTGGGATTACAGGTGTGTACCACCATACTTAGCTAGGAAGTACAGTTTTATATTTTGTGGGTTTTTTTTTTTTTTCCATTCAAGTTCTCCATAGACCTCACTTTCAGTGACTGCATAATGTTTTGTGGAGGAGATAATGTTTTTCAACCTTTCCCTCATGATTAGATAATTGCATCATTTCCATATTCCCCACTTCTACCCTGTACTGGGGATTGGACCTAAGGCCTTCAAACTGAGCTACATCTCCAGTAGTTTTTTGTTTTATTTTATTTGTGATAGGATCTTGCTATGTAGAACAGACTGGTCTCAAACTCAAGGCACTTCTGTGTTCTGTATTACTATTTGTTATCACACCTACCATCTTTTTATGTTTTATTTTGAGACAAGGTCTTGGTAAATTGATAAGTTGCCCGGGGGGGGTTTGAATTTGTAATCCTCTTGCTTCAGCCTCTCAGAGTGATGGGATTATAGGCATGTACTACTATCCCTGGCTTCTAGGATTTTTTTTTTTTTTTTTTTTGTGTATATTTTAGGTAAAGGTATACAGGATGTTCAGGGTCTCACTGCTAGATCAGATGTGTTGTGATCTGCCTGTTTACAGTCTCCCAAGAGCTGGGATTAGAGCTTTGCACCACTACGCCCAGTCTCAATTGCAGTCTCAGCATGCCCCAGCAGTGGGGCCGGCAAGGCAGGCCCATGGATCAAACCCCCAGCCCCTGTGCCTGCGTGTAGGCGCTTTAATCCACTGAGCTATTTGGCCAGCCCTTCTAGGATTTTTTAATATTAAAAATTATGCCATATTGGTATATCTGTCAATAGATTCCTCTTTTCCCCTGTATTTAGTATTGTTTGGGATGGCCTTTCAGAATGGAGATTCCTGGGCCAGGATGGTCTGTGGTATTTATAAGCTTTCCAACGCTGACACCACTTCATACTTCCATCACCAGAGGAATGGCTGTGAATTTATCCACTTGGACAGCTTTGGCTGTCTTAATTTCAAAAGCCTTTTTTCCCCCTGTAGTTACTAGATGACGATGGCCTTGTGGCCTGGACCCACCTTTCCTTGGTTGTGCCTTGTTTTGTCCCATTCCCAGGCACAAAAGGAGAGAACCCAGGATTGGGGAGGGTAGCACTTTTGTATCCTGTCCATGGAAAGAGAGCAGTCAGGCAGGTGCCCAGGAGGCAGATGACTGTGTGTCCTGTTCCATCTCACACCACACCCTTGTTGGCACTGCAGTTACTTCAGCTGGCTGTTCACTCACAGTCCCAAGCTACACAGCTGGTCTCATAGGCCCAGTGGGCCCAGCGGGGGCCTGAGGCAGGTCTGGCTCGACCTAGGTTTGGGTGGCAATGCAAGAATAACAATGTGGCTCTCAACAGGGGAGAATTCTGGCTGGTATATTGGGAATGTGTTTGTCACCTAGTAGTTGGGGTGCCACTAACCATTTTGGGTGGTACCTGTCTCAGTTACTCTTCTCTCGTTGCTGAGACAAATACCCAACACCCAAAATGAAGGAAGGAAAGGTTTATTTAGCTCATAGTTACTGGAGATTTCAGTCCGTACTCAGCTGGCTCCAAGGCAGACTAGCACATGGCTGAGGGCAGCAGTTCATGGTGAAGGAAGGCAGCAAAACAGCAAAGGGAGGAGTAGAGGCAACAATGGCTACAGAGAGGAAGTCTGTCTCTCTGTCTCTCTTAAGTTGCATTCAGGCTATATGACCCTGGTAAGTATAGTACTCACACCCATAACCCCAGCAGTACTAAGACCCATAATCCCAGTGGATCATGAGTTGATCTCAAGCTCTAGAAGTCTCTGCCTCATGTCTGCATGAGGCTTTGGAGGGACAACTAGACCCAAACTATGACTGTGCCCTCTAGACAGAAGTTATCTAGTTTCAGCTTCCCAACAATGTAAAGCTTGAGAAGCCCTAAAATAGAAGCCCTGGCCCAATAGTGTGGAGGTTGAGAAACTCTAGACCCCCATGGTATGGGTGACAAGACTTGGCAAGAGTCAGAGGCTGGGGAAAAGCGTGGGTCATAAGGAGAAGCCAGAAGGACACAGCTCATGGAGACCGGGCTCTGGGGGTGAGGGTACGCAGACGCTCAGAGAGCAACATCCAAGCTAGGAGACACACAGGAGCCCAGATGCAGCTGTGGCAGGTGTTAAGGCCAAGGTGACAGGTTGCTTCTGGAGGGGTAGAGATGGATGATCTGGGTGAATTGAACCTTCTGTTTTGAGACATTATCCAGGTTTTGCTGCTTGATGGATGTGGGTGAGGGAAGAGGCTTGCAGCATGAACCTGGGGTCCTGCTGAGCTCCTGAGTGGAGCAGGTAGCATTGGCTAGGAAAGAGGCAGTGAGAAGAGCAGGACTAGGTGGGAAAAATGAGTTGGCAAGGGAGCAATTGGCTGTGGAATCCAACCTGGCAGGAAGAGCTGAGCAAAGTTAACTTTCACTCATGCTGGGAACTGACTTTTTCCTACATCTGATAGGCGGGGCATGAGGACCAGGAGAGGTTCTCTGGTTTTTCCACGGCAAGGTGGCCAGGGGGATTTGTTCTAGCCCTGTTTCTGCATTGAGGATTTTCCTACCAGAGACTGAGCATCCTTATCTGGAATGCTTCAAACCAGACATGTTTCGGATTTTGAATTTTTGGATCCAGGATGTTCAACCTGCATTTAGCAGCCAGGGAGTTGTGTGTGTCCTTCTTTCATGAGCATGGTGGCCCATGGTTGCTGGTTTTCACTGGCTGCCTTAGAAGGGTGCCATGGTTTGGGCAGCATAAAGAACAGAAATTTACCTCCCAAAATGTAGAGGCTGTAAGTCTGAGATCTAGACCTTAGCAGGGTTGGCACCTTCTGGGGACCATGTAGGGTCTATTCCAGACATCTCCCAAACCTTTGGTGATTACTGGCAATCTTGGTGAGTAGATACACCACCTGATCTCTGTCTTCCTTTTCACATGGTATCTTCCTGTCTCTGTGTCCAGCACCCTTAGGTCCTCATCTTAATTGATCACCTCCCTAAGGACCCTATCTCCAGAGGCTGCATGCTGAGGCACTGGGGAGAAGACTCCAACAGTTCTGTTTCGTGGTCACATTTCCCATGTCATAGTTGTCCTCTCCCCTGATCCTGGTAGCAAGACTCACACATGTCACTTTTTTGTCAAAGGTGATGCCAGCAATAATATGCATGCTGTGCATCAAGGTGCCAACAAGGATAG